GCGTTGGACTCCCTTGGCGCTGGGGATCCCTCCGCCTCTCAGCTCCAAATGCACATGCGCGGCAAGAGGCGCGCGCGTGCATTTAAACCGCCCATAGGAAAGCATTACTCAATGCTTTCCTATGGACGTTCAGTGTCTTCTCACTGTTATTTTCACAGTGAGAATCGCGGAAGCTCCTCTCGCAACTGTCAATGAGACAGCCACCAGAGGCTGGATTAACCCTCAGTGAAACATAGCCGTTTCTCTGAAACTGCTATGTTTTCAGCTGCAGGGTTAAAACTAGAGGAACCTGGCACCCAGACCACTTCATTCAGCTGATGTGATCTGGGTGTCTGTAGTGGTCCTTTAAGTGTGTGTGCATACCGCGGTCGCGGGGCCGCCATGTGTTGCGGACCCGACCAGCGCCGAGTAAGCGCGGGGGGGGGGCACGGATCAATTTTCGCACCGGGGCCCCATGGGTCATGTGTACGCCACTGATTAGACACTAAGTGCATGTTTTGTTTTTTAGATCTGGTGTCCCAGTTCGGGATGGAGCAAATCGCTCTGTTTAACAAGAGGATCTTTGTGTATCATCTCCGACTGGCAGCTCTGCAGAAATCCACCAGGTTCTTAAAACATAAGCCTCTGTTGCATTATACCAAATTCTGAGACTTCTAATGACCCCTAAAGCACTTAATCTTTTGAGGACATTTTTTAAAATGTATTTTGCATATTGTGCTAAGACCTCAGGCATTCACTGTTCCACTTGTAGACCAGGTGCCATGGAGGGAAGGTGAAGGTAGTTTTTACTTGACTTAAAATGTCCTTTGTATGCAGTTTCACAAGGTCCTCTTCAGCTCCTGGCATTTCATTTGCCAGGAGCCAATGGAAGCAATCTACTCACGTGCATGCATAAGTGTACCTTATGTAGCTCTGCCTTTTGTCAAGAGTAGGAAAAATACTTACTATAAAAGTTGTTCCTATTTTGTCTTATTTTGTGGGGGTCACGGAAATGCTGTAAGTCTACATTTAAAGTGCTCTATCATTCTTTCTATTCTACGCCTCCAATCCTCAACATGGTAATTGTATTTTCAAATATAAAATATAGAGATTGTAATTTGCTTTACGGTTACGATTTGGTGAGTGTATTAAATTCCACGATCTCCGCTGGTACAGAAGATAATGCAAAGTAAAGCGCTGAAAAGTAAGGCAATATCACAAATCCCCCAGTAACCGGACGAGACACAGTTCTGGGAGTCAACTGAGCTTTTATTCACAAGTCACAGTATTTATGCAAGTCCCCATGCAAGGGGTTTCCCTACTGACATTGCAGGGGTTATACAGTAGGGGACTACATGGGGGATTTAACAATCTGGACATTTCTCCCATCAGGCACTGCTGGACGAGAGGGATACTCCCACTGGAATATACCTGTAACGGATCACCTGGCACCCCGACTGGGTACCTCCGTTGAAGGATGCTCCTAGCACTTCCTGAGGACTCCAAGCACTGCAGCAGACACCAAAACCCCCGAACCCTAGGAGCATATGAATGCTCACAAGCATAAGAATGTGGTATACAGCCGAATAGGAAAAAACATGCGAATAGGTTTACACTCCTAGCAGTCAAACTGGAACAGCATACAATAAATCCTCCCCCAATAATGAGACGACACTTCACTTTGAGGGTTAAGCAGGAACTCCATTTGTTCAGATCCATCTGCTGAACTCCGCTGCTCAGGGATCGCCCTGTCCTCATTTTGATATTCTGCCATCACCTCTGCAATGAGGGTTGCTTTTCTTTTGTTGCTTGCTGCAATACCTTTTGCTTCTAGGAGATCTTTTAACGTGGATCTTTTAAGCTTCGCATAATCACTCTCCATCCGTATTCCATTAGTCCTTGTTCACTTGTGAGTCTGGATCCCACCGCTGCCACCAATGTAGTGGAGAGCTGGTATTACACAGCCTATCTCCACTTTGGATCCCAGTGAGGCTCAAGCAAGCAATTATAAATCCGTAGGGCAAAGTATCTAGCAGGCAAAATAACACAGCAGTATCCCAACAGCACTCCCCATAACTGGACGACACACAGTATCAGGAGCAGAACTAAAGATTTATTCAGACAGTGGCCTTATAAAGCATACTCCCATGCAAGGGAGGGATTTTCATTCATTAGTACAGTAGCCAATCCTGTTCTAGTAACCTCCCACACATATCCTCCCCTCAGCCTGCATCATAATCCCCTTATCCAGGACACCAATTCCCCACGTTTCTGGATGTACCCCTATGGGTACCTAGGGGTACCACTTTAAATTATACATCCCCAGGTAGCCCTGATCTGGGTGAACAACATATCCAAAAATCACCCAGATCAGACCAGGGGTTCGGTAAATTTGTGGAGGGAATAAAATGACCGACCGCGCTGGAAAGAGTAGCCGAATTGGGTTCCATGCGATGGGGCCCTGCGGTCGGTCCTGGAACAAGGGAATAGTTTACACGAAAACCTCCAGTTACAGAGACTAGGGAGGGTTCGCCTGAATCCCCTTGTTCGGTTGTTTCTATCTACCGAACGAGGGGCCGTTCGGTAGTTTGGAACCGAACGGACCGGGCTTGTGGACGTCTCAGCGGTGTTTGCCTAGTCGAGTGTCCAATTTGAGTTCCAGACACTCGACGGCAAAACACTGCTGTTCGGAAGTTAAAATGGCCGCCGCCACGTGTTCGTTTCCCGAATGGCGGCCACCCCCGAGAACAAAGGACTGCTACTCAGCTTGTCAATTACCCGTTCGCAACAAGTTGCAACGGGTAATTGAAGGCACACTTCACTCTGGGGATGTCTGACTGTTCGGTAGTTTCATTCCCTTAGTTGTTGGAATGATTCTACCGAACAATCAGACGAATACAATACATTTAACACATATAGCTTTGCCATTTACACGAATGCAGTCAAAACGTATGTAATTCTCAGGACAGCCCAGTGCCATCCGCTACAATACCGTTAAGTGGATTATCCCTCCGTGCAGCAGAACCAACATTTCACATTAAAATATATAACTTTTCCATCATTCACTTTATTTAAACGAATGGACGTTCGGTAGATAGCTGGCGTCTGAGCGCACCTTTCGTGAAAATACTGCTCAGATCCCAGCATAAATAACCGTACGCCGCGCAAAATACAGTTTAACATTATTTTCGCCTGACTACCGAACACCGATGGGAAACCACAATAGTGAAAGACTGAAGCTCACGAACGGCCTGGAAGCCCAGCGGTGTTCGCGCCGTCGAGTAGACAATTTCAGTTCCACGCACTCAATGACCAAACACCGCTGGGGAAACAAAGGATCCAAGATGGCCGCCCCCCGTGGTCAGTAGCCAAACGACGGCCACCTAGGAATGCAATTAACTACCGATTGCAACAATGTTTCAATCGGTTAATGGGTACCACACGATCCTCTGTGTGTGGGCTCCTGGTTGGGATCTTATTCGTTTCACGAACAGCAGGTAAAGTCCCTGTTCATGAAACGAACACATGAATGCTAGGAAATATGGCTTTGTAACAGCCTAAGCTAATTTATGGTGCACAAGGGTCCTCTTGTCACTGTGCCTATGCATAGTTTTGCTTATAACGGATGACTTAGAAAATATAGCAATGAGCAGATTAAGAAGCGTTTTTTTAACGGACACTTATAGGCACCAAGAGCACTTCATCTTGTTTGGGTGATGTTCCCAAGTCCACTTAACCCTGCAATGTGAAATATTGCCTATTCTATGAAACTGCAAAAATGTTCTTGCAAGATTAACTCCTCCTCTATTGCCTGTCTGACAGCCACTAGAGGCGCTTCAGGGTCCTTAAAATGTAACTATGTGAAATAACACTGGACATCCTTACGCTCTGCATAGGACAACCAGGCTGTTTAAAAACTCTACAGAAACGCGTTGAGTAAATGCTTTCCGATGGGGAAGCCTAAATGCGTGTTCTGGAAGGACCTGGTGTTGGCGGAGCCTGAACCATCAATCAGGTAACTGACAATAAGGGTGCAGAGTAAAGTATAGTGTTAGCAATACAGTTTGATAGCAGCACTATAGTTTTCCATTAAAGCAAAGAGTCTTTACCCTGTTATAAATTTATATAGCATCCACCCAAAAAAATCTAAAGTGACAAAAAGGAACTCCAATCTGTGTTCAACAAGAGAAACTGAGGTTTGTTTCTTTTTGACTCTGAAATCCACCATCTCATGGCCATTTCATCACCCCCGCTATAGAATTGCACTGATGTCACAGAATGGGACACAGCAAGTGCTTTTTTTTTTTTTTTTAAGAAACACAATCTGCATGTCAAGATTTCTGCAATATACTTTATTTCTTATACGTTAATGTGGAGCTTAGAGTTTACATCTATATTAAAAAACAAAACAAGTAAAATGGGTAACAGAAAAACCTGCCTTGCAAAGACAGACTGTGGTAACCACAGAACATGGAGAAAGTTTAAGCACCTGTAAAATAAAAGCTGTATGGCATGAGGAAAGCAATATCGGTATAATGTCATGATCTCTCTTGTGGTGGCCCACTAATTCTTAATCACAGGAAAATGAAGGTTACGTCATATCTGCAGCATGTGTTATGAAGCAGCCAAGTGTAGAGGAAGTTTTCTGTTTCAGCAGGTTGATCATGGTGGCCTATCTGGCACTGGAACCAAACATGGTACCCTTCATCTCCCTCAAGACGGTGCTCAGAGTTGTCAATCATGAAAAAAAAAATTATGGTTAGATTGAATAACTGTAAGCACGAGAGAGAGAGGCAAGAACACGAAAAGTATTGTAAAAGTAAGAGGGAATACATATTAGAAAGGCAAAGGAGGAGATTAACAGTGAAGTCTATGAAATCATGAAAATTAGCAACTTTAGGTTCAATACTCTACCTTCTTCATGAGTAGCAAACATGGACCCCTTCATCTTCCTCGTATCCCACAGGAGACGGTGCTCAGAGTTGTCAAAAACAAAAACAAATGATGGCTAGAGTGAATAACTCACATTGCTTGAATTGGCACATGGATACACATGTGAGCAGTAACGCCACGTCAAGGCTTCAACCCTTGTTACTGACCATTCACACACACCATACTTTTCATTCATACGCATTTGGTATTCCAGATGTTTTGGACTACACCTCCCATAATGGTTTGCCAGCATTATGGGAGATGTAATTCACAGCATCTGGACTGCCCAAGGTTACCTACCTCTGAACTATGCCGTGATCACAGTACACAATGTTGAAGGTGCTGTGCAAACAGGAGCAGCTTGTCATGTGTCAGATGCCACTTCATTACTTATATATTCAATACTCCACCCTGGAGACGAGCATCAAACATGGGCTTCTTCATTCCTCTTCATGTACTTCGTGTCCCGTAGGAGAACATGCTTGTCAGAGCTGTGACACACACAAAAAGAAATAAACTGGTTAGAGTAACTGGCATAACAGACACAGTGCGTGCAGACTTGCGTGCCACATACATACAGCAGACAGACACAAAGATTGTGGGAGACACACTGGATTAAATATAAGAATTGGGAGTACCATACATACACAATGCACAAAGAGACGGAGATTACTGAATTTGGTGACCGACGGATTTGGTTGCAGATGTGGGGCAGTCCCTCTCGCTGGGGTGGGGGTGCAGTTTCTCATCCTTCTCTGGCGAGTGACTAGATGGCTGCGGTTTCATAGCAAAAAGCATGCCATGGCATTTGATATCTAGGAAATAAATATTTTTCTGTGAAACTAGGGTTGTACACATCTAACACACAGGCCACAAGTACTGTACAGCTCCCCATATAACGCACAGCCCCCAAATATAATACACTGCCCCCTCACATGTAACGAACAGCCCCTCCATCTAACACACAGGCCACCCCAATATACTTCACAGACCCCCAATATACTGCGCAGACCCCCCATTATACTTCGCAGACCCCCCCCAATATACTGCACAGACAGCCCTGCATATACTGCACAGACAGCCTCCCATATACTGCGCAGACCCCCCCATATACAGCGCGCGCAGACCCCCTCAATATACTTTGCAGATCCCCCATATACAGTGCAGACCCCCCTAATATACTACACAGGCAGCCCCCCATATACAGCGCAGACCCCCCTAATATACTGCGCAGACAGCCCCCCATATACTGCGCAGACAGCCCCCCATATACTGTGCAGAACCCCCATATACAGCGCGCACAGACCCCCTCAATATACTGTGCAGATCCCCCATATACAGCGCAGACCCCCCTAATATACTGCACAGGCAGCCCCTCATATACTGCACAGACAGCCCCCATATACTGTGCAGACCCCCTCAATATACTGCGCAGATCCCCCATATACAGCGCAGACCCCCCTAATATACTGCACAGGCAGCCCCTCATATACTGCACAGACAGCCCCCCATATACTGCGCAGACAGCCCCCCATATACTGCGCAGACAGCCCCCATATACTGCGCAGACAGCCTATATTTTTACAGTATGTGATTGGTTAACCTTTGTCCCTCCCTGAGGGATGTCCCCTTGCATGGGGATTTGCATAAAAGCCTGTGTGCACCCATTAAAAGTTAGTTCAGTTGTACCCTTCTTCTTGACTTCGGCTGATGTTTGGGGATTTGTGTGTTTCACTAAGGGAATCATCTTGTGAAGCAATTGGGATTACTATATGGTTCGTCTCCTTTATGTACCATACAGAGGGCTATACTCACTAATGCTCTGGTGGTTTGGGAGGAAACTACCGAATGAGGTTTAAATACACTTGGTTTCCTTACAACTGGTGGCAAGCGGAGGGATTCGAATTCCAAATGGACGCCCTGAACCAAGCAAGGGAATGAATGGCTCAGCAATACCAGCTACTTAAGAGAACCACGCTGAAGGATTTACTGGAAGCTCGAGGCGTAGTGGCAAGTAACAAGACAAAAACCACATTAATTGCAGAATTAATACAGAGCGATGGAACCAGCAATACAGAAATGGAGCATGAGGAAGAAACTTAGATGCAGAAAGATATCAAATGGATGCTCAGTGTATTGGGACCCAATCCATCAACAGAAGCGGTTCTGCAGGTCATGGCACAAGCCAGACAATCACAAAAAGAGTGAGAGGACCGAGACAGACCGCTACAGCAGGGGGATTTGCTACACTCCCCGGTAAGTGCCAATGATCTTCCAAAGAAGGTAAATTATGCAGCATTTAAAAGTTTTAATGATGATTACAAGACATTGAACGTCAATGTGCGCTGGAGGGATTAGACTCCACAAAATGGGCTGCAGTACTGAGCAGCAAACTATCAGGAAGAGCAGCAGAGGCGTTGAGGGCGGTACTGGATGGGGACATGCATAATTATGAGAAAATAAAAGGATAGATACGCTTTAACCCCAGAGGCATACCGGAAAAAGTTTCGGGAACTTCGAGAGACAGGGAGAGATTCCCACACTGAATGGGCTTTTCGGCTACACAGGTCAGCCCGTAATTGGATGCAGGGCTGTCAAGCAACTACCCTGGAAGATGCCTTACAACTTATGCTGCTAGAACAATTTTTTAATTACACTGCAGAGGATATCAAAGATTGGGTAAAGGACAGAAAACCCCAAACTGTGGAGGAAGCTGCCAGACTAGCGGATGAATATCAAGACAACAGGAGGAGGGAACAGGGGGGAAGCAGACCCACGTTTAGGCCCAACTACCCGGCGCCAGCACCCCCTGCCGTCCCTAGAACCGCCATAAGTAACCCACCACAAGGTCCAGCAGTAACGCCTCGACCCCCTGCAGTGTGTCATTACTGTAAACAGCCAGGACATTACAAGAACCAGTGTCCTCGCTTAAACAGAGGAAGCTGAGAAAGGCAACCACCACAACATCCCAGGTCAGCCACCCATTGTGTACAGCCGGAAAGCACACCTAACCAAGAAAAACAGTGGAGTGTGTTGCATGAGGTCAATCCAGTGCAAGCTGGGGGAGACAACCGGGACCACCACCGCCAATGGATTACAGTGAATGGCGTGGGGGCGCGAGCGCTGAGGGACTCTGGGGCCACTCTAACGGTAGTACAACCCCACATGATCGCACCGTAGCCGTAAGGGTGGCTGGGGGTGCTATACACAAGCTACCTACAGCCAACGTACTGGTCGATTGGGGTTCTGGGTCCAAACAGTTGGAGGTTGGCATTATGCAGGAACTGCCAGCTGAGGTCCTGTTGGGAAATGACGTCGGCTGTTTAACCTCTCAACTAACCCGGGACACTACAGTGGAAGCCTACGCCGTTACCACCCGAGCCCAAGCCCGACTGGAAGCACCGCTGCACTCTGAGGACAATCAGGTAGGAGTTGACATCCCCCCTTTGCCAGATCCCCCTACCACCATCTGGGATACACCACAGGGGTTTGAACAAGAGCAGCGGACAGACCCCACTGTAGAAGGGTATAGAAAGGCCGTAGAGATACCTAAGGGGGATAACCCCCACGAAAAGTTTGAATGGTATAAGGGATTGTTGTACCGAGTGACTGAAGGGGTGGGACGCGGGGCCACGCAGGTCACTAAAAGACAACTGGTAATACCCCGTAAATTTCGAGCCGAGTTATTAAAACTCAGTCCTGATATTCCCCTAGCGGGACATCTAGGGGTCAAAAAGACGAGGGCCCGATTGACCCAAACGTTCTTCTGGCCTAGGATTACGCAAGATCTGAAGTATTATTGTAGGACATGTGACATATGTCAAAGACTAGGGAAGAGAGGTAATCACCACAAAGCCAAACTTCACCCTTTACCGATTATAGAAGAACCCTTCCACCGAGTAGCAGTGGACCTAATAGGACCTCTCAGCCGACCCAGTCAGTCTGGCAAGAGATTCATTCTAACTGTAGTGGACTACGCCACTAGATACCCGGAAGCGGTAGCCCTCACCAATATAGAGGCCGAGACCGTGGCCGAGGTCCTAGTTAAAATATTCTCCCGGGTAGGTTTTCCGCAGGAGATCTTGTCCGATTGAGGGACTCAGTTCACAGCTCTCCTTACCCAGCAACTATGGCAGAGCTGCGGAGTGAAAGTCCTATTCAGCGCCCCCTACCATCCCCAGACCAATGGACTCTGAACGGTTTAATGTCACACTTAAACTGATCCCGAAAACCTTCGCAGAGTCCTGCAGGAATTGGGAAAAGTATCTTCCCCATCTTCTGTTTGCCTACCGCGAAGTATCTCTCTAACCCCCCCTCCTCCAATGGTGGTTTCTCTCTGGTGGTCTCTCCCCCCCACCACCTTGGTGGTCTCTCTCAAACCCCCCTCCAATGGTGGTTTCTCTCTGGTGGTCTCTCTCTCTCCACCACTGCCCTGGTGGTCTCTCACTTTCCACTCCCCCGTGCCGCCAGGCCACGTTATCCTGAGTGACTGCGTTGTGCCGGATCACTCATATCTTAAGGATGCGCCAGCCCAAGCTGTGTCTCCTGAAGGCGGCTGCAGCATGAGGGGTGACGCGCTCACATCGCAGGGCGCCCCCTTTAAGGATGCATCATAGGAGCCATGTTTTTAGAAGTCACAAATGAATATAACTTGATTCTGTATGAAGTCTTATTTTCCTTTGACATCAGTAATAACGAAATAACATAAATGGCACTTGGCAAATAAAAGTTCTTAATAAGGTACAAATGAAATCATAGAGAACAGACTTTATATTCCCTTTCCTTCTGAAATAACATTTAGGGAAGAACCTGTTATTAATCCCAGTAACTGGTGAACTTATCTTTGCATCCTTGGATGATGAGCATTGAAGTCCTTTCCAAGATAGTGAGGATTATGGTTCCCTGTAGTATGTAGAGAAGGTAGGAATCCAATGTCGTCTGTATCCAGTCAGGGAGAGTTGAGTAAAACATAGTCAGGATCAAGCCGGAGGGCTCAGTACACAGGAAATCAAATAGTGGAGCTCCTTTCAAGCGACAAAAAAGTAACAAGAATGCTAGAGACATAAACCAAACAAAATTGATTGAGCACCTGAGATCAGGAGCAGCTTCCTTTTAACTCAGGAATGGATGACATCACAAGCATAGGTGGGGTCTGATCGCTAAATGCTGGTCTGGCTGGAATTCCCAAACAACATGGGGGAGTCCTGACACTAGTCGCCTATAGGAAGCGCTGGCCCTGAGTTTACTAAAAAAGACACAATAAATATAAAGTGGATACAGTAGATATTGAAAAGAAAACCAGTATATTCATGGCTTGAACTATCGTGCTTTGCATGTAATGCGTCTATCTCATATATTAGTTTCCCCTTTTATGTTGCATTACTGAAATAAATGTACTTTTGCACAATATTCTAATTTTTTTGAGTATCACCTGTAATAGTTCTGGGTATTCTGTGTTTCTCTTTCCTGCCACTAGATGTCCCTCCTAGTCTCTATATATGTGCATATTTAGGCACTATCTCTAGCTCTATGCTACTAGGACAATAATTTTAGCTTATTGAATTTGTTCTGGTGAGTAGAATCATTACCGTCAGGCTTTTTGCTGTAAACACTGTGTTTTCAGAGAAAATGCAGTCTTTACATTACAGCCTAGTGATAACTTCACTGGCCACTCCTCAGATGGCTGTTAGAGATCCTTCCTGGGTCATGGCTGCCTAAAATGCATCCAAACATTCAGTGTCTCCTCCCTCTGCATGCAGACACTGAACTTTCCTCATAGAGATTCATTGATTCAATTCATCTCTATGAGGAGATGCTGATTGGCCAGGGCTGTGTTTGAATCATGCTGGCTCTGCCTGATCTGCCTCCTTGTCAGTCTCAGCCAATCCTATGGGGAAGCATTGTGACTGGATCAGGCTACCACTTCTGATGATGTCAGCAGACTGCTTGTTTTTCTGAGTCTTACAGCATGCAGAGTTACAGCTTCAGGCTTGAATACAGTAAGATTTCTATATTTCGGGAGGCATGAGAGGTCCATGGGGGCTAGATGATGGTTTTAACACTATAGGGTCAGGAATACATGTTTGTGTTCCTGACCCTATAGTGCTCCTTTAAGACTGTCCTCTTGTTGTGGTAGTTTTTCTTCTTTTAAATATAGTCTCCTCGTTTACTGTGTTGATTCCCTTTATGTATTTAAATGTTTCTATCATATCCCCTCCCCCCCCAGTTTAGTAGCCCTTCTCTGAACTCTCTATAAAGTATCAATATCCTTCTGGAGATATGGTCTCCAGTACTGCGTACAATACTCCAAGTGAGGTCTCAACAACGCTCTGTACAATGGTTTGAGCACTTCCCTCTTTCTACTGCTAATACCTCTCCCTATACAACCAAGCATTCTGCTAGCATTTCCTGCTGCTGTAGTACATTGTCTGCCTACCTTTAAGTCATCAGAAATAATCACCCATAACAACCTTTCCCCATATGTTGAGGTTAGAACTCTATCAAATATGCTGTACTCTGCCCTTGGGTTTTTACGTCAAAGATGCATTATCTTGCACTTATACACATTAAATGTCAGTTGCCACAACTGTGACCATTTTTCTAGTTTACCTAAACCATTTGCCATTTGGCTTATCCCTCCTGCAACATCAACCTTATGTACACATCATTCTGTTTTTCTAGGTTTACTTTCATAAGTTCTGGCTTTCTGCTCCATTCCAGTCCTCATGGAAACCTACTTTTTTGTTAACACACTCGTCACTGTTTGCACGGTTTCCCAGTTGCCATGGCAACTGACCCAGCACTCCTATTTGCCTTGAAATCCATCCAGAGTGCTCTGTGTCATTTTACACAGCGTGGGAAACTCCAAAGAACTTCCCCACAGTTAGTTAGTTATTTTATCCTCCCCTCACTATTTTTAGGGTGAGGAGGGTAGGTAGAGGATCATTTCTTATTTGGGTGGAAGCCACGAGGGAGGACAATAGGTTCCCCCTCATTGTTATTTAGGGCCCCCACCCACAGCGCAAGGGTGGGGGGTGGGGGAGGACAGTAGGTCCCCCCTGTAGCGGAGAGCTGCTCTTACACAGCTTATCTCCACTTTAGATCCCAGTAAGGCTCAGGAACAAGTATTATAAATCCAGAAGGTAATATTTCCAGCAGGCAAAACACTCCAACAATATCCCAACCTCAATCCCAATGACTGGACGACACACAGCATCAGTAGCAGAACTCCGCTTTTAATCACATGGTTTCCTTATAAAGGTTTCTCCCATGCAAGGGAGGGATTTACAATAATTGGGACAGTAGCCAATGGTACAGTAGTTACCTCCCATACATATCCTCCCCTCAGTGTGACACTTAATCCACTTATGTTCCAGTTTTACCCAGTTTCTGGATGTACCCCAAAACTGTGGTCTAAGTGGTACCCCCTGGCAGCCCTGACCTAGGAAGCTAACATACTCAAAATTCACCCAGATCGGACCAGGGGTTCGGGAGTTATGGGGAATAAACAATTTGACCGACCACACACGAGGAGGTAGCCGAAAAGGGTACCATGTGTTTTGGCCCTGCGGCCGGTCTCCGTTCGGGAGGTAAAACATCCATAAATCTTTGCCATCCACTATTAACAACGCATTTGTATGAATCCCCTTGTTCGGTACGTTGAACTCACCGAACAAGGGGCTAATTGGCCCCTCCATTTGGGAATTACGGAGTTCTGGAGGTCTCAGCGGTGTTCGGGTAATTGAGTGTCCGATTTGAGTTCCAGACACTTGACGACCAAACACCGCTGAGAGTTCGTGCGTAAGATGGCCGCCGCCACGTGTTCGCTTACTGAATGGCGGCCACCCAGATATAGCAATAAAGTACCGATTGACTGCGGTTAGAGAAGTGTGAAAGCCTAATGAGGTACACACTTCTCTCTGGGGTGGTCTATTGATTCTGTCGTTTTCATTCGTATGAAATACGGATGAAAACTACCAAACAAACATACGAATTCTACATACAATTTTAATTATACAGGAAAACAAAAACACACGAATTGTCTTTTAAGCATAATTTTGGAGGACAGTCCAGTGCCATCCGCTACACTGCTCCCCCTTGCCCACAAGCCGGCATACACAATCTGATCCAACACGGATCGGCTTGGGGATGTCCGGGTGGCTCACAGATCATTTTTCAAGGTCAGTTTGTCTGGACAACCCGTCAGCGTTGCCATTCTGTTTTCCCGGGCGGTACTGGATGTTAAAGTCAAACGGCTGCAGCGCCAAACTAAACTGCCGGGCATTGTCCCCTGCCACCCGGTTTAACCATACCAACGGGTTGTGATCCGTGAGCAGTGAAAAGGACTGTCCATACAAATAGGGTTGCAATTTCTTTAAGGCCCACACCACAGCCAGGCACTCCTTCTCGATGGCGGCTTAGCTCACTTCTCTAGGTAATAGTTTCCGACTGATGTAGGCTACGGGATGTTCTCCGCCATCGGCCCCGACTTGGCTTAATACTGCCCCCAATCCAAACATAGAAGCGTCTGTGTGAACAAGAAAACATTTAGTTGGATTGGGAGCTGCCAAGACAGGGGCATTGCTAAGTGCATTTTTCAGATGTTGGAATGCCTACTCACACTCCGGGTCCAGGTTACTTGGCCGGGAAGGTTTTTGCGGGTAAGGTCATTAAGGGGTTTGGCCAGGGCGCTATAGTTGGGTACAAACTTCCTGTAATACCCGGCGGTCCCTAGAAACGCCAGGACTTGGGTTTTTGTCCTAGGGGTTGGCCATTGCGCTACGGCCTCTACTTTTGCGGGTTCAGGCCTCTGCTTCCCGCAACCTACTCTGTGTCCGAGGTACTGTACCTCAGCCATACCTATATTGTATTTAGCTGGTTTCAAGGTTAATCAGGCTTCTCGGATTCTATCTAACACCGCTCCAATGTGGGCCAGATGTTCCTGCCAGGTATTGCTAAAGATAGCAATGTCATCTAAATAAGCACAGGTGTAATCCTGAAACCCATCTAGGAGCCGGTCTACCATCCTCTGGAAGGTGGCTGGTGCGTTTTTCATCCCAAACTGCATCACCTTAAATTGGTATAAGCCGAATGGGGTGACAAAGGCGGACTTAGGGATGGCGTCCGGGGCTAGGGGGATCTGCCAATACCCCTTACATAGATCAATGGTCGTGAGGAATTGGCCTCTGGCCATCCGGTCTAACAGTTCATCTATTCGAGGCATAGGATATGCGTCAGATACTGTCTTTTTGTGCCGTCCCGCTTGGGTACGAGGACTACAGGGGAGGCCCAGGGGCTGACTGCTCAATCACCCCCAGTTGGAGCATCTCCTCGATCTCCTTGCGCATGCTCTCCCTTACTGCTTCAGGGATGCGGTAAGGCGTCTGGCGCATGGGAAGCTGCCGTGGGGTTTCTACCCAGTGAGTGGCAAGAGGGGTGTACCCAGGTATATTGGAGAAGGTCTCCTGTTTCTCCTTTAGTAACTGTTGTACCTCGGTACGCTCCTGTGGGCTCAACCGATCCCCCAGCGTAACCTCCCCTAGATCCCCTGACAGCCGACCGTCTCCCAGCAGATCTGGGAGAGGCAGGTTAGCGAACTCCTCAGAGGAGGGGGCACAAATGGTTGTTACCTCCTCTGAACATTGCTGGTAGAGCTTCATCATGTTCACATGGATCATGCGTCGCCCTCCAGTTTCGGCGCAGGAACCAATTATATAAGTGGTGTCGCATCTTTGCTCCATCACTTTATAGGGGCCCTGCCAGGCGGCCTGTAGCTTATCATGTCGGACAGGTTTTAAAATTTAAATCTTCTGCCCAACCTGGAAGCTACGGTCCCTGGCGCCCCGATCATACCATGTGCGCTGGCGAGTCTGAGCCGCCTGGAGGTTCTCCCTTACAGACTTAGTTAATGCTTCCAGACGATGTCGAAACGCCAGCACATATGTCTGCGCTCCGATCTCCCTCCCAGTGCTCCCTAATCAGGTCGAGGGGTCCTCTTACCCGACGCCCGAATAGTAATTCAAACGGGGAAAACCTGGTCGATTTCTGCGGCACCTCCCTGTACACGAATAGGAGATGGGGCAGGAATCGCCCCCAGTCCCTATGTGTGTCCGTGAAGGTTCGGAGCATTTGTTTCAATGTTCCATTGAACCGTTCGCATAGCCCATTGGTCTGGGGATGATATGGAGCACTGATTATAGGCTTGATGTCACAGAATTTCCAGAGGTGTTGGGTAATTTCCGCAGTGAACTGGGTGCCCTGATCCGAGATGATCTCCCTGGGTAACCCCATCCTGTAGAAAATCTGCATCAGGGCCTCAGCCACTGTTTCTGCATGGATGTTAGTCAAAGCCACCGCCTCTGGATATCGGGTGGCATAGTCTACTACTGTTAAAATATACTTTTTACCAGAAGGGCTGGGTCTCTGTAGGGGGCCTATTAAACCTACAGCTACTCTACTGAATGGCTCCTCAATTATGGGTAGCGGGTGCAGTTTTGCCTTCCGCCGGTCCCCTCTCTTCCCTACCCGTTGACACATGTCACAAGTATTGCAGTACCTGTGGACTTCCTGGCTAACTCCCAGCCAAAAGAAACTTTGGGTCAGTCGGTGACAGGTGGGACTGACCCCCAAATGTCCGGATAGCGGGATATCGTGCGCTATCCGGAGTAATTCAGATCAGTACCGTTGTGGTACGACTAGCTGCCTCATGACAATCGGGTCTGACCCAGCTACCTGCTTGTCAGACTCCCTATACAGCAACTGGTTATCCCATACAAATCTTTCGCCCTCCCCCCAGGTCGGTCCGAGGTGACCTTGTCTCTATAGACCTGTAATGTGGGGTCAGTGATAACCTCGGCCGCAAATTCGGTAGGGGGAGCCCAGGGGATACACTCTAAGGCAGGGGAAGGATCTCTTACCTGGACCTCTGGGAGTGTGTTGTAGTCGTGGATGCGGGCCTGTTGTCGAGTAACTACTGGGTGTGCTTCTCCGGTTTTTGGTGCCTGGGGCTCAAAAGCAGAAGTGAGTTTGCCCAGATCGTTCCCCAGCAAAACCTCCGCCGGCAGTTGTGGCATTAACCCCACTTCCACATTCCCAAACCCCACTCCCCAATGCAAATGTACCCGGGCTGTGGGTAGCCGGTATACTGCTCCCCCGGCTACCCTGACTGCCACAGTTCGGCTGGTCTTGGCCCAATCGGGTACAAAGTGACTTTTGACCAGAGTGATGGTGGCCCCCGAGTCACGGAGCCCTTGGACTGCTTTCCCCTCTAGGTAGACCGTTTGTCTGTGATGTTGATGGTTATCTGCATTCGCTTGTATGGGATCTGCTTCATGTAACACTTCCCATTGTTCCACAGTAGTTATGGGAATTGCCGAGCCATATGGCGTTGGTGTCTCAGATTGGTAGCAGTGAGCGGCTGCTCGAGGTGGTTGAAGTAGGCCTGGACGGATCCAGGTGGAGCGGTCTTTTAGTTGGGGGCTGTAGCGGAGGCCTGGTATTCCACAGGTTAACTCCACTAAAGATCCCAGTGAGGCCCAGGAACAAGTGATAAAAAAATCCCATAGAGTAATAATTCCAGCAAGCAAGGTAATTCACGAATATCCTCATACAGATCTTAATGACTGGACGACACACAGCATCAGGAGCAGAACTGACTTTTAATCCACACAACCTCCTTATAAAGCATTCTCCAATGCAAGGGAGGGATTCACATTAATCAGTACAGTATCCAATGGTGTAACAGTTACCTCCCACACATCTCCTCCCCTCAGTGTGACACTTAATCCCATTACACATGCTGTAGTTTTCCCCAAGTTCTGGATGTACCCTAAGATCAGCAGATACACTAGTACTTTTGGTACCCCCTGGTAGCCCTGATCTGGGTGACTAACATATCCAAAATTCACCCAGATCGGACCACGGGTTCGGGAGTTAGGTGGAGGGTGTAATTTGACCGACCGCACACGAGGTGGTATCCGAAAAGGGTTCCATGTGTTTTGGCCCTGCGGTCGGTCTCCGTTCGGGAGGTGAAACACACATAAAAAACTGCCATCCACGATTAACATTACATTCGTATGAATACCCTTTTTTGGTATTTTAACTGAACGGGGGGGGCTGATTAGCCTTCCCGTTCGGGAGTTACGGAGCCCTGGAGGTTTCAGCGGTGTTCGGGTAATTCAGTGTCCGATTTGAGTTCCAGACACTCGACGACCAAACACAGCTGAGTCTTTCGTGTGTAAGATAGCCGCCGCCACGTGTTCGTATGCCGAACGGCGGCCACCCAGATACATACACTGTGGCGAAACCAACCTCACCACTGTACACTGGAGAAGCCTAGTTGCTCGCCTGCTGCCTTTGGACTATGATTTGTTTGAGTATGTTGTGCCCCAGATAGGAATCCCATGGAGCCCATTCGCATGAAACTGACTGTGTAAAGACTTTGGCTCCATGGCGATTAAACTGTATTCATGTGGTCTGAGCGCCATTCGCTTAATAATGTGCGCTCAGACCTGAGCTATCTGGGGATATGTAGAACGTATATGTTTCATATACTGAATGTAACTGTAGGTAATTTTATGTATTTTAGATCTCTCCCAGCTCCGTCGATCGCACTCACAATCTAGGCAATATCCTGGAGACTAGCCGCCATCCGACGGCGTAAGCATCAGCTACAGCCTGGGGACACCACACCGAATCCCCAGATGCCCTTCCAGTACTCTCCGAAGCATCTAAAAGCAAGACGCAGGACCGGGGCCTACCACACACCCGCCAACCGCGACCTCGAGTTTCTCTGGGGCGGGGACCCCGCGGGAAACACAGCAGAGTGGTGGCCGACCCTTACATCACCTGCTAACACAGCAATGGGGCGTAGAAATCAGAAGAGTACCCCCAGTAACGCTCCAGAACAGAGGGACATAGGAGCTATGCTCCAACGGCACACCTCCGCCAAGATGGCGGCCGCGGAAGGCCCAACCTCACCAGAGGCTCCCCACACAGAGGCATCTGCAACACTTCAGCTGCAGAGAGCTCACAGCAACAGCCCACAGCCTCAGCAGGTAACTCTGAACCTGCAACCAAACAGGACCTCCAAACCCTGTACACTATGCTGCAGGACATTCAAAACCTCCTCACTGCGGACCTGCCTATCCTAAAATCATCCCTACATCAACTAACAGGCAGAATGGAGGCAACTGAAGCAAATATTAAGGAGCTAAGCCAAGACACCTCCACCATGCAGGCATCTATACTCCAACTACAAGCAGCCCAACAGGCCCTTACACTACAGGTGGCAGCGCAGGAGGACAGGTACCGCCGCAACCACGTAAAAATAAGGGGCATCCCGGCCACGGTCCCCCAAGAGGAACTGCCACACTACATCAGAAGGCTGCTGGCTTCAGTACTGCCACCTGCTACGGCTAAAAAAATAACCATCGCTGGGCTATATCGAATACCAACGTCTACCTTAACCACCGCCAAAACGCCAGGCGACGTCATACTCCGCTGCGCACTACCTCAAGACAAGGGGCAAATAATGGCAGCGGTAAGAAACAAGACTCCACTGCCCTTTGAAGACTCGCAACTGTCCTTCTACCAGGACTTATCCAAGGCCACACTACAAGGGCAAAAATCCCTGAACCCTGTCACCACCCGACTGCGGGCAGCAGGAGTGCCCTACAGGTGGGGAACACCACGATCCCTCCTTGTCTCGTACAAGGGGTCCACGCAACGGCTAACTACGGGGACTGATATCCCAGCATTCCTTGCAGCTCTAGACATGCAAGAGGCAATGGTAGCACCAACGGACTCAAATCGCGCACACGGATGGGTCCCATCCAGAGTGGTACCATTTGTGCCAAGAACTGTAGCCGATTGCCCACCTGATTCCTGACTGGCAGGGACATCTCCAGCCCAGTCCAAACCTAACGGAGGGACTCACTGATCCGGCAGCCCTAGGCTGCAAAGTTGCAAAGTTGTAGAGATGTAAAGTTCTGCTTGTTCTTGTGTTATTACCTTTTTTTTTTTTTTCTTCTTTCTTCATGCCGTATGTCTATGTCCCTTGCGGTAGAATCACCCATTAGAAGACACAATTTTCCGCCTGGGCCCACTGGGCATAGAGACACCAGGCTCACTACACCCAAACACTCACGAAGCTGCGCCATCTATGACCCTAGTCCGGTTGCATCTAGCCACACATGACCAATCATTGAAGCGCACACACCCCCCCCCGCTACCGCCTTGGTTAGGGGCTATGCCGCTCACCACGAGAGGTCAACCATGCACAAATCATCCCCCCCCCACCCCACCCAGGGGAGGAGGGCAAAGCTTACACCACCGACACTCGAGTGCAGATATCGCTTGATTTCACTAAGTTAGACATGTTATTAAACCTCTTGTGATCAAAACCTATGCTAATGTAACATGTTTTTGCTTACATCCTGTTCTGAGCGACATTATTTTAACACTATAAAATGTGCTGATAAGTTCATTGTTCCAATTGTTAAGTCTGAAAAATATGCTCGGGGAATGCTATTGGGGCACCACGAGCTTGCTTGTTATCTACTCAAAGCACGATAAAAATAAAGAATTGAAAAAAAATAAAAAAATTTTTTATGTCTTTTACTGTTTGTTTTCTGCCATGTGGTTAATGGAGTTTTGCCTCTGTCTTTGGAGATAATTGAATTACTTCCCAGTTATCTCCAGAGCAGAGAGGAGGGATTGTGATGCATTGTGGGATGGTTGAAATGTGTAAGTCTGTGATTGGTCCTTTTACCCTTTGTGTCCCAGTCTCCCATTTGGTCCCCTAGGGGAGTGTCCACCAGGTGGGAGACCTGCATAAAAGCCGGGCAGTTAGCCCCAGTAAATCAGTTCCTGCTTAACCCTCAAAGTGAAGTGTCGTCTCATTATTGGGGGAGGATTTACTGTATGCTGTTAGAGAGGGAGTTGGTGAATTCGTGGGTTTGCAGTTCAGGAGATTGGCGCTTGTGTGTCCCAGGGAGCTGAAGGTGTCGTCCTTCCTCCCCAGCGGCAGTGTGTGTCCCAGGGAGCTGAAGGTGCCGTCCTTCCTCCCCAGCGGCAGTGTGTGTCCCAGGGAGCTGAAGGTGCCGTCCTTCCTCCCCAGCGGCAATGTGTGTTCTTAAGAGAAGAGACAGTTGGTCCCTCTCCTCAGCAGTTAAGTGAGTCCCAGGGAGCTGAAGGTGCCGTCCTTCCTCCCCAGCAGCAGTGTGTGTCCCAGGGAGCTGAAGGTGTCGTCCTTCCTCCCCAGCAGCAGTGTGTGTCCCAGGGAGCTGAAGGCAGGGCCGGTGCAAGGACTTCTGCCTACACAGACGAAGACACATTTTGCTGCCCCCAAAATTTATCTTCACCTGTCTGTCTAATATTCCCACTTTTGCCCCTCTTACCAATTATTTTGCCCCTTTGCATCTTACCACCTTTTTCTTTTGTTTTCCTTTTTTGTATATTGTATCCTGTCTGGCATTATTTTTTACGTGTTTTGTGTCTTCATCCTACTTTTCTTTACCCCCTTGCGTCACACACTCACTCGCTCATACACACACACACACTGACCATAACACACACACACTGACCATTACACACACACACACACTGCTAATACACACACACTGGCTCTAACGCACACAGTCTCTTACACACTTGGACGGCTTATACACACTCACCGGCTCTAACAGACACACACAAACAGTCTCTTACACACACTGCTTATACACACTCACTAGCTGTAACACACACACACAGTCTCTCTCACACACACACACACACTGCTTTACACTCACACAGTCTCTTACACACACACAGTTTATAGACACACACACACACTAACTCTTACACACACACACTAGCTCTTACATACACACACTGGCTCTAACACACACACATTAACACACACACACACACACACACTAACTCTTACATTCACACACTGGCTCTAACACACACACTAACTCTTACATACACACACTAACACACACACTAACTCTTACATACACACACTGGCTCTAACACACACACATTAACACACACACACTAACTCTTACATTCACACACTGGCTCTAACACACACACACATTAACACACACACTAACTCTTACATACACACACTGGCTCTAACACATACACATTAACACACACACACACACTAACTCTAACACACACACACACTGGCTCTAACAGACACACTAACTCTTACACACACACACACTAACTCTTACACACACACTAACTCTTACACACACACACACACTAACTCTTACACACACACACACACACTAACTCTTACACACACACACTAACTCTTACACACACACTTACTGTTTCTTATAGTTGCAAAACAGAGGTCCCGCTGCACTGTTGTAGCTTTCCTCCACAGCAGTTGGCCGCCGGGATATGATGTCACGTATCCCAGCGGCCTGTAGCTCAGGAAGAGAGTTGCCGCGGTCGCTCCTCGCTGTTCCGCCCCCTTCCCTCAGTGGCTGCACGTTTCCCAGCCAGCTGACTAGATTGCTGCAGAAATTGACCGGCGGGAGCGGAGTTCTCCGTGCTCCCGCCAGTCACTCGGACATTTTTGCGCCCCTTGGGTCCGTGCGCCCTAAGGCGGCCGCTTGTGCCGCCTTATGGTAGCGCTGGCCCTGGCTGAAGGTGCCGTCCTCCCTCCCCAGCAGCAGTGTGTATTACAGGGAGCTGAAGGTGTTGTCCTTCCTCCCCAGCGGCAGTGTGTGTCCCAGGGAGCTGAAGGTGTCGTCCTTCCTCCCCAGCGGTAGTGTGTGTCCCAGGGAGCTGAAGGTGTCGTCCGTCCTCCCCAGCGGCCGTGTGTGTTCTTAGGAGATGAGACAGTTGGTCCCTCTCCTCAGCAGTCAAGTGAGTCCCAGGGAGCGGAAGGTACCGTCCTCCCTACCCAGCAGCAGGACAATATATTGAAAGGGGAGACAGTCGGTTCCCCTCTCCCCCAGCAGGGAGAGTGTCAGGGAGAAGAGCTTGTTGCCCCCTCTCCACAGCGGCAGCGTATCCCACCAAGGAGAGACATTTAGCTCCCCACCGGCACAGATGGGACTGTGGTCTACGCGCCCAAGCTACAGGGAGTACGGACAGCCGGTCCGGCTCCCCAGCGGCAGAGTATTCTACCAGGAGGGGAGAATACTTCCCAGCGGCGGCCTAGCCCACCAAGGGGAGATGAGAAGCCCCACAACCGTGCAGATGGGACCGTGGTCTCTGCACTTACAGCACAGGGTATAGGGACGGTCGGTTTTTCCCCCCAGCGACAGGGCTGTTTAGCCAAAGGGGAGACAGTCGGTCTCCCCCTCCAGCAACCAGACTCCAACCAGACTACTCCCGTGGTAGTGCTGGCACCAGGACAGACTACCGCTGGTCTCTGCCCACTCAGCAACGCACCCAGTCCGCTTACCAGTCACCCACACAGCCATGGTGAGGCGCCTGGACATGGACAACGTTCTACTCTATGGCGATTGAACTGTATTTATGTTATCTGAGCGCCATTCGGTAGTAATGTGCACTCAGATCTAAGCTATCTGGGGATATGTAGAATGTCTATGTTTTATGGAATAAATGTAACTGTATGTAATTTTATGTCTTTTATTGTATTGTTACTGCCAAGTGGTTAATGGAGTCTTGCCTCTGTCCTGGGAGATAAGTGGATTACTTCACAATTATCTCCAGGACAGAGAGGAGGGATTGTGATGTAAATGTGTGTTTTATGGTTCTCCTGTAAACGATTGGTTTTACTGTGTCCCACCCTGTGGGATGTCCCCTTGCATGGGGACTTGCATAAAAGCCAGTGTGTGGCCATTACAAGTGAGTTCCTGCTTAACCCTCAAAGTGAAGTGTCGTCTCATTATTGGGGGAGGATTTATTGTATGATGTTCCAGTTTGACTGCTAGGAGTGTAAACCTATTAGCATGGATTTTCCTATTCGGCTGTTTCCAGTATTCGTGTGTTTGCAGTTCGGGAGAGTGGTGACTGCAGTAGCTGTCTGTGCATCTGAAAGGGGAAGATCGCCTAAACGGTTTTTAACTGCTTGTGGGCAAAACGGTCCGTTGCACAAGGGAGGGATTTACAATAATTGGGACAGTAGCCAATGGTACAGTAGTTACCTCCCATACATATCCTCCCCTCTGTGTGACACTTAATCCACTTATCTCTGTTAAAGTTTTATCCGGTTTCTGGATGTACCCCAAAACTGTGGGGTACAAGGGTCTAAGTGGTACCCCCTGGTAGCCCTGACCTGGGAAGCTAACATACTCAAAATTCACCCAGATCGGACCAGGGGTTCGGTAATTTGGGGAATAAACAATTTGACCAACCGCACACGAGGTGGTAGCCGAAAAGGGTTCCATGTGTTTTGGCCCTGCGGTCGGTCTCCGTTCAGGAGGTAAAACATCCATAAATCTTTGCCATCCACTATTAACAACGCATTTGTATGAATCCCCTTGTTCGGTACGTTGAACTCACCGAACGAGGGGCTAATTGGCCCCTCCGTTCGGGAGTTGCGGAGCTCTAGAGGTCGCAGCGGTGTTCGGGTAATTGAGTGTCCGATTTGAGTTCCAGACACTCGACGACCAAACACTGCTGAGAGTTCGTGCGTAAGATGGCCGCCGCCACATGTTCGCTTACTGAATGGCGGCCACCCAGATATAGCAATAAAGTACCGATTGACTGCGGTTAGAAAAGTGTGAAAGCCTAAGGGGAGGACAGTAGGTGTCCCCCCCTTATTGTTATTTAGTACCCACACCCGCCACGGAGGGGTTGGGGACAGGGGTGAGAACAATAGGTACCCCAATTATCCTTTAGGGCCCCCACCACTCAGGGGTGGGGGCCGAGGGGTCGGAAAATAGGTTCCCCTCCACATTCTCATTTAGGGCCACCACCCATTGTGCAGGGGTGGAGGCCAGGGGGAGGACAATAGGTCCCCCCATTATTCTTTAGGGCCCCCACCCGCTGCTTAGGGGTGGGGGCCGGGGGGGAGGAAAATAGGTTGCCCCCCACATTCTCATTCAGGGCCCCCACCCACCGTGCAGGGGTGGGGGCTGGGTGGGAGGACAATAGGTCCCCCCATTGTCCTTTAGGGCCACCACCCACCACTCAGGGGTGGGGGCTGGGGCTCTAGGTCCCAGCTTCAGTTTAATAGCCCCCTCTCGCGCGGCACAGTTGAGGGCTCGGGAGGTGTGGGGGCTTTTTTTGTTTGTTTTTTTAACAGTGAGCAGCCACAGGCTGCAGCACCAATAGGATCAGAGTTTCATTCATTCGAATGAAATTGCGATCCGAACAAAGTCCCAATTGCGTTCTAACACGAATGGAGAAACTGTTCTCATTCTGCAATTCGGCAGTTTTGCCGGCGTTTTGTCTAAATGACAGGACGTTCGTCAATACTGACAGGAAGCATTGCGGGAACAGGGAGGAAAGCTAAGGATCATGGGAAAATTGCTCTGACCAGCGGAAATGAAGCACACTTTGCTCCTCTGCTGGTCATAGCTGGCCGGGCGTAGGAAACCTCCATAAGGCAAGCAGTCCCTACTTTGTCTTATGTTTTAAAGAAAACTAGAGCAGACAGGAAGAAATGAATAACAGATCCTGAGAGAAGGGGAGAAGAGGAATCGATTGGGAAAAGGTAAGTTCGGCATGACAGTGCCGCTTTACGTGTCAAGTGTTTGTGGACTTTTCAACTACCGCTATTGTGGACTTTTTTTTTTTATACTGTGGATTTACTATTTTATTGGACTCCCCAGTCATGTATTTTATGTAAACTATATTCTCCATTGTTGGATATATATTGTAGCTCATGGATATTTTTTCATCTTTTTTTTATAAGTGAAATTTATTGTTATATGTACCTATAGAGGACTGGTGATCCTCTTTCCAGCTTTAGAGCTAGTTTTACTGTTCTTTCTCTATTTTTTCCCTACTCAGATTCCTTGCAACATTTAGCCTAACTACTTTTATCTGTGTTTTTGTCTAACACTCTTATCTGTATTTCGTGCTATATTATCCAGAGATATTGACTTATCTCAATTTAGGGATAGTTAATCTTTAATCAGGAACGTTAATCACCGGCAATGTCAATTTTTCGTTGGATTATTCTTTTGGCTTACTGAATGGAAAAGGAATAGTTAAACTGATTTCTTGTGAAAAATATTGTATTTTTTTTAGCTGCAATATTAAAGGTGTTTTTCATGTGAGAATTATCACCAGCAGCGAGTGAGTTAACTCAGTATGATCCAAACTCACAGCAAAAGTTATGGCTGGAAGCTGTGCTGCTGTATGATAAGTTCTGTGTAAAGGAATTTCAAAGCTGTTGTGAGATCCGTGTCAAATAATTCCTAAATTGAAGGATTCCTGTAATTTTGCTAAAATTGCATTGATGTGGATATAACTGTTGACTGAATTCTAGAGGAAGTATTTGTAATTATGCATGTAACTCCTTTAGAATTAAACATATGTTGCTATTGAGCGATCTGTAGTTGTGTTATAACTGCTGCCATACTGTATACTTATGTTATATCTAAATATTCACTGATTATTGTCACGCATGTTACATATTATTTGTCCCAATAAATTATATTTTTATAAATCGTTTGTGATTAATGTGTGAAATGCAAATTCTCTACTAAAATGTACTTCAGGGTCTATAAGAGTTAAAATACTGGGTAACTCTTTGCTTTAAATTAATCAAGGGAAACAGTGCCAATACATACATTTTTGGTATAATTAGTTTTTGATAATTTTTATAAAAATATTAATTTTAATATTTATCATCCCATAAATATCCTCACACTGCTCATCAGACAATATTGGAAGCTGGCTGCTTGGAGAAATTGTTAAAGGCCTGGCCAATAGATTTAGGGGTTCTATAGATATGGCCATCAATAGCCAATTTTTCAACCCTCACCCTAGCCTTTCGATTTTTCATTTTGTTAGTAAGCATTTATCAGCTTTGTTGCCTTTGTAATACCAATTCTGGTTTAGTTTTTGTAGGGCATAGCTGACTCTGGCAACTAGTATGTTATTGATCTTATCCATTGATCTTATCCAGATTATACATTATATTTAATATTTTTATACATCTCTCTTTTGTATGATTTTTTCATTTTCTGTGTTCAAATTATATAATGGCATATATAATTGATTAATGGATAATCCCTCTTTCTTTTCTGACCCAAACTGAATAGGAAAACCTCGAATGACACTGTCGAAAGCCCACCATATAGTTGGAATTGGTGTGGCACGAGTAGTGTTTTCTCCGAAATATAATTTAATCTCATTGTAGCGGAGGAGCAGGGGTTAATCCAAGGGCTCTCCACTGGGAACAAAGATTCAGCATACAAAATCACAGGAACACAGCATAATCCACCTCCCCAAGGACTAGACGACACGTAGTCTGGGAGTCAACTGATAGCTTTAATCACAGGTCTGCTTTTATGCATTTCTCCCATGCAAGGGAGGTAACTTTCATAATTTGTACAGTAACCAATTGTAACCCGGTCACCTCCCCTCACTCTCCTCCCCTTAGATTAACAGTTAAACAGATTAGTGGGGACAGAGTTTTCCCCACTTTCTTGATGTCCCCTAAATACATGGGGTACCGGGACAAATAAGGGGTCCTCTGGTAGGTCTGATCTGGGTGAGCAACATACTTGAAATTCACCCAGATCGGACCAGGGGTTCGGGAGTTACAGCCTGTTAAAGATTTGACTGACCGCAGGGACTCAGTAGCTGAAAACAGTTCCATGCATTCTGGCCCTGCGGTCGGTCTATTTCAGTGAACCACAAATACCGAACGGTTAGCCATCCATGCGATTGCTACCATTCGTATGATTCCCCTCATTTAGGGGAATTTATCTACTGAACGCCGGGGCGTTCGTGTGTTAGATTCGTATTGTCGGAGCACGCTGGAAGTCTTAGCGGTGCTTGGTTAGTCGAATGCCCGGTTTGAGTTCCAGGCGTTCGACAACCAAGTACCGCTGTTTGTGCGGTACTTGGTTGTCACGTGTTCGGTTGGCGAAATGGCGGCCACACATACAGGTACTTAATTCCCTTCGCAACAATGTATCACTCTGTTAATGGGGAACAAACGACGACCCCGGGGTGGTCTTCCGTTCGGTAGTTTCATACATTCGAATAAAAACATTACAATACTATTAAAGTCAATTCGTGTGGTTATTCCCTTGGTGAATTACACCTATTCACACAGAATAATTAGTCCAAGTGGCAGGGTTTGCCACACTCATCATATAAATATTCATAATATCCACCGTCTGACAACAATCTCATTTAATCTCTAATTTCCCCCCGTGTTTTATTGTTCATATCTATTTCAATATCTACAATCACAGCTGAGTGGTCTGTTCACACAGTATCTTAAAAAAAATAAAATAAAAAATAAATAAATAGATATATATGCTAGAAAATTGGTGGCAGGAATTATTTCTCCTAAATGGTAGTCTAATAAAAAAAACAAAAAAAAACATGTGGCAGATAATGTGACAAAGCAACAAGAAAACCAAATTAAACCCTTTAAATTAATATCTTTATTTAAACCAAATTTAAGAGGTTTTATATAAATCCATTGAACTTCCCTGGAAATTGGTTCCTGTAGCCTCTTGCCATCTTTTGGTATACTGTGATTTTTTATTTATTTTTGCGGCGCATTTGCCACAACTGTAAAAAATTATAATAATTAATATATAATTGAGTATTAAACTATAAAAATGAATAAATGGCAAAAAGGTTTAATTCAATAAATGTCTTGATATAAGTTAGGAACAGATAAGGGGGTAACCCTAGATAATAATACTGAAAGAGAAAAACAAAAATCTGTTCCAACACCATCCAGAATAACATATGATAAATAAACTATACAAAGTTAAAAATCTTGAACATACTTTATTATGAAATCAAAAAACAAAAAAGCAAACAAAAAAAACACACAACACATCATATGTTCCCTTTAAGGAACTGCCTAGCTTAATAAGAAATGTCCAAAACGGCAGTACCAGAAAACATATGTGTGTAGAGTAAAGGGTGAATATAATGAGATAGGAGCAAAATAAAATAAAACAAAACTGATTAAATAGAACTCCCACTAGGAACATATGTAACAAATGGCAAATAGAATATTTACCAATCTGCTATAATCGAAACGGATACCGAAACTGATACCATCCAAAAAATAACACATAGAAAAAAGATAACTGTTCTTTTGCGAAGGTCTCTGCGAAGGTCTTTAGCATCTTCTTAAGCGTACCATTAAAACGTTCACATGGCCCATTGATCTGGAGGTGATAGGGGGCGCTGAATAGAGATTTTACTCTGCAGCTCTGCCACAATTGCTGTGTCAGGATTGCTGTGAACTGAGTGCTCCGATCGGACAGGATCTCCTGGGGAAAACCTACCCGGGAGAATATTTTAACTAGGGCCTCTGCCATGGTCTCTGCCTCTATGTTCGCGAGGGCTGCCGCTTCCGGGTATCTAGTGGCGTAGTCCACTATGGTTAGGATGAACTTCTTGCCGGACTGACTGGGTCGGCTGAGAGGTCCTATTAAGTCCACCGCTACTCGGTGAAACGGCTCTTTTATAATGGGTAAAGGGTGGAGTTTGGCTTTTTGGTGGTCACCTCTCTTCCCTATTCTTTGACATTTATCACACGTTCTACAATATTATTTAAGATCTTGCGTGATCCTAGGCCAGAAGAACGTTTGGGTCAACCAGTCCCTCGTCTTCTTAACCCCTACATGTCCTGCTAGGGGAATGTCATGACTGAGTTTTAATAACTCAGTATGAAACTTACAGGGTACAAGTTGTCTTTTAGTGACTTGAGTGGCCCCGTGTACCACCCCTCCTGTCACTCGGTACAACAATCCCTTATACCATTCAAACTTTTCGTGGGTGCTGTCCCCCCGAGTGACCTCTACGGCCTTTCTATACCCTTCTAGTGTGGGGTCTGTTCGATGTTCAAAACCCCGTGGTGTATCCCAGAAGGTGGAAGGGGGATCGGGCAAAGGGGGTATGTCAACTCCTACCTTGTTTTCCTCAGAGTGCAGCCTTCCAGTGCACTTGGGCTCGGGTTTTCCTTCCAGTCCGGCTTGGGCTCGGGTGGTAACCGGGTAGGCTTCCGAAGTGGTGTCCCGTGCTAGTTGGGAGGTTAAACAGCCTACGTCATTTCCCAATAAGACCTCTGCCGGCAGTTCCTGCATAATGCCACCTCCAACTGTTTGGACCCAGAACCCCAGTCGACAAGGACGTTGGCTGTAGGTAGCTTGTGTATGGCACCCCCAGCTACCCTTAAGGCTACTGTGCGACTGGTGCGAGTTTGAGCCTTGACCGTGTGTGGTTGTACCACGGTTAGAGTGGCCCCAGAGTCTCTCATAGCTTGGGCCCCCACGCCATCCACTGTAATCCATTGACGGTGGTGGTCCCAGTTGTCGCCTCCTTTTTGTACTGGGTTGACCTCATGTAGAACACTCCACTGTTGTTCTTGGTTGGGGACGTGTAGCCGAAAAGCCCATTCAGTATGTGAATCTCTCCTTGTCTTCCGAAGTTCCCGAAACTTTTTCCTGTACGCCTCTGGGGTCACAGTGTATCTGGCCACCAAAATGTCTTTTACTTTGTCATAATTGTGTATGTCCTCATCAGGTACTGCTCGTAACGCCTCTGCTGCTTCTCCTGACAGCTTGCTGCTATTTACTGCAGCCCATTTTGTGCAGTCTAATCCCTCCAGCGCACATTGACGTTCAAAGTCTTGCAAATAACTGTCAATTTCCATGTCATTGTCTTTAAACATTTTAAACGCTGCATAGTTTACCTTCTTTGGTAGGTCATTTATACTTCCCGGGGAGTGTAGCAAACGGTCTGTCTCTGTCCTCTCGCTCTTTTTGCGATTGCCTGGCTTGTGCCATGATCTGCAAAACCGCCTCTGATGATGTATTCGGTCCCAATACACTGAGCATCCATCTGATATCCTTCTGCATCTCGGTTTCTTCCTCATGCTCCATCTCTGTATTGCTGGTTCCGTTGCTCTGTATTAACTCTACAATTAACATGGCTTTTGTCTTGTTACTTGCCACTACGCCTTGAGCTTCCAGTAAATCTTTTAGTGTAGTCTTAAGTAGCTAGTATTGCTGAGCCATTCATTCCCTTGCTTGGTTCAGGACGTCCATTTGGGATTTTAATCCCACTGCTGTCACCAGTTGTAAGGAAACCGGGTATATGTAATCCTCATTCGGTAGTTTCCTCCCGAACCGCCAGAGCATCAGTGAGTATAGCTCTCCGTTCGGTAGTTGAAATAGACTAAATGTATAGTAATACAAATAGCTTTATAAGATAATTCCCTTAATAAAGCACACAAATCCCCAAACATCAGCCGACGTCAAGAAGAAGGGTACAACAGAACTGCCTTTAATTACCACACACAGGCTTTTATGCAAGTCCCCATGCAAGGGGACATCCCACAGGGAGGGACACAGTTTAACCAATCCGTTACAGTAAAATCATAAAATACACCCAGTACACACATACAATTTCCTCCCCTAGTCCTGGAGATAATCAGGTCTGATAAAGTAATAACTTGATTATCTCCAGGCAGAAAAATCACAATTTTCCCCAATATTTGAAACACCCCTTTATACATGAGGTATTCCCACAAATATGTCCCCTGATAGCCCCGATCTGAGTGACCAACATATTGAAATTTCACCCAGATCGGTTCAGGGGTTCTCAAAAAAGGTGGAAGTCTTCTGTGACCGGCTAACCGTGGGCTGGCTGCCCAAAAGAGTTCCAGGAGTTTGGGTGGTTTTGCCGGTCACTTCAGTAAAGGGGTAAAAAAAAACGAATAAAATTCCGAATGGATTCCCCTGGCTCTCAGCAACGATTGTTCCCCTCAATTGAATGCACAAAATTCGACTGAAAAAAGATGGCTGCAGTTTTCTCAGCCTCGTGGCATTCGGTAGTACGAACGCTGGCCACACAGATAGAGGGGTCAATTGACAAATGCTTTGAAGCTTAATGAGCCGGGGGGTGGTCTTTGTTCGGTAGTAAGATCTACTGAATGAATAAGGGAGAACTAGGGTGCATAGAGAGGGATTTCTTCACAGAGAGTATGCAAGACACTCTTATAACTATGATGGAGTCGCTATGGACTACTGATATTTAGTTAATGGTTAAGTTAACAGTTTACTTATGATATGTTCCATGACAAGACCCAAATATGACAGAGACCACTTATCTGAGGTAACCTAAATACCAAAGGCCCTGAGATTTCTGAGTTAGGGCTAGATGTAGACTCTGCCCACTAAGCTGACTCAGGACGCACACACAGCCTATCACTTAATCTGCAAGGCAATGGGAATCAGTGCGTTTCTAAAGTAACAATCATGGAGGGAACTACTTTACTGCCTGTTTGTAGATAATTCTGCACCACACATAATGCTCCTGTATACTGTCAATAGGGAGGAATTCTCTATGTCAAGGGATGTCATGACCACGGCCCACATGAGAGGCGCTCGAATCTGTCAGCGCAACCAGGCTCAACACCTGTGAGCCGGATAGGGTTCAATACCCCTCTGTTCTACCCCTATATCCAAGTGTCATCTGCCCTACACCTACCTAAGCCCTGACCCCACTCCTTACCCCCGGGAGAGTCACAACCGCTGTGAGAGACGCACCCCAAGCTATGTGTTTACAACCTGCTCCACTACGCTACCAAATACCAGACGCTTATATCATAAGCAGACCACATTAAACATACCCAGTAATGAGAATAGTGTCCTATAATGTTAAGGGGCTAAACTCCCCACGTTGGAGGAGGCTCCTCCTCCAGGATCTTAAACTCGTGATGGACATTGCATATATCCAAGAAATGCATTTCAAAACACCCAGGATACCAGCCATTTTTAACAAGGTATTCCCGATTCAGTACCACACCCTCTCAGAATCCAAGATGAAAGGGGTATCCATATTTAAACATAGAAACGTAGCCTTTACACTGCAAGACTCATCTTCCTGGTGGGCATTTTCAATGGCATACCATCCACCCTAGTGTCGGTGTACTTCCCAAATACAAACACCACTGCCTTTCTTAGGAACCTATTGCTAAAAATTGATGAATATAAACTAGGGGGCCTGCTTCTGGGGGGCAATTTAAATTTTATCCAATCCCCTACCTTAGACACTACGGCTACGCCGACAGGCAAGAGAAAAAAAAAGCTTACAGGCACTCTGTAAATCACTAACCCACACGATGACCTTTCACAATCTCCACGATGGTTGGAGAGTCCTTCACCCCAAAGAGAGGGACTACTCCTTCTATTACAGGGTCCACAATACCTATACCTGCATAGACACATTCGACAATAACACACTAGCACAATTAGCGCCAGCAAACTGGGGGACATAACGTGGTCAGACCGTATTCCTAGACCGTTTGATAAGTACAAATTTAAAGGAAAAGGAACATGGAGGGTCAACGAATCTCTGCTACAAGATAAAACTTTTGCAGACCAGGTGAGGGAGGAACTCAGTAGCTATTTCAACATCAATGCCAATGGGGAAACTTCAGACCTAAAAGTGTGGTCTGCCCACAAGGCAGTGGTAAGGAGTAGGTTCATCAGACGGTCTGCATACCTTAAACACACCCAACAATCCAGTTTACTGGGCTGCCATAAACAAATAGTGCTACTTACGGCCCAAAACAAACAGTTGCCCTCCCCTGAGGTAGCCAATAAACTCCACATACTTACTGAACTCAATGCCCACAAAAACCAAATATTTTTTGCATAAACTACTAGCCACCACATACCATACTAGCGGGAAAGCATCCCGTTTTCTGACTGCTCGACTCCGAGCACAATTGGCATCTTCCAGAATCCCCCACCTGACTGGTGAAGATGGTAGGAAAAAGAAACCCAACTGACATTGCCCAATAATTTGCAATTTCTCTAAAAAAGTTGTAATCTGGGTACAAGGAAGCAGAACGCATAAAGGGATAACTAGATAAACCTCCCCAAAATTGCTCAGGCCCAAGTAGACTCCCGGCTCCAGCAAATCACGATAGACTAAGTCCTCAAGACAATCAAAATCCTGCGGAGCAGATTGCCTTCCCAACGCGTATTATAAAAAATGTGCAAGTATATTTTACTTAAAGTATATCATTCAGCGCTAGAGACCGGCACATTCCCATCGGAAATGCTGCTCACTACCATAGTAACATTGCCAAAACCTGACAAACCCATTTCTCTGCTAAATACTAATGCGAAGATCTATGTGAAAGTTCTCGCTAACAGACTTATCCCTATTCTCCAGTCCATAATTAAAGATGACCAAACAGGTTTTGTAGCAGGGAGACATGGTCAAGATAATACTGGCAAATTATCGCTGGTAATGGAACGACTTAAGGGAGCTGGCTGAGGCGGACTCCTATTAGCCCTGGACGCTGAAAAAGCGTTTGACCGCCTCAGCTGGGCCTTCCTAGAACAGGCTTTAACAAAGTACGGATTCCCCTCCGAGTTCCTGCTCAAAATCTTAGCACTATATTCCGTCTCAACTGCTCGAGTATTGCAATTGGGTTTCCTCTCGAATCATTCCCTATTACAAATTGCACAAGACAAAGCTGTCCTCTCTCGCCACGATATATGTTCTGGCCCTGGAACGTCCTTTATGCACAATTAGACAACACATGGAAATCCACGGAATAGACCTAAACTGTTGCAAACTTAAAATAAGCGCATTCGCGGTTGATATTCTCCTATATTTCTCCCGACCTGAGGAATCATCGCAGCATATACTGCAACTAATAAAGGAATATGGGGACATGTCTGTGGCAAACCCTGCCACTAAAATACTAACTGTTCTGTGCGAATGAACACTGGAGTTATTATAAGCGAATGTGTGCAAAGGCAGAGACTCAATTCACGAACGGACTATACTGTTATTCATGCTGTTATTCATGCGAATGCCCTGAAACTACCGAACGAGAGACCACCCCGCGGTGGTCGTGTGTCTCCTATTAACCAAAGATACAATGTTGTGAAGTGTGTGGCCGCCATTTTGCCTACCGAACACGTGGCGGCGGCCATCTTACGCACGAACAGCGGTACTTGGTCGAACGCCTGGAACTCAAACCGGGCATTCGACTAACCAAGTACCGCTAAGACCTCCAGCAGGCTCAAAAATCACAAAGCAAACACACGAACACCTCGGCATTCGGTATGTGGAATCCCACGAACGAGGGGATTCATTCGAACGGTAAAGGAAGCCTGGATGCCCCAGCCGTTTGGGACTTTTGATTCACTAGAAAAGACCGACCGCAGGGCCAGAATTCATGGAACTGTTTTCGGCTACTGAGCCCGTGCGGTCGGTCAAATCTTTAACAGTCTGTAACTCCCGAACCCCTGGTCCGATCTGGGTGAATTTTGAGTATGTTGCTCACCTAGATCAGGGCTACCAGGGGACCCCTTATTCAACCCTGTACCCCCTGTATTTAGGGGACATCCACAAATTGGGGAAAACTGTGTACATATTAATCTTGTTATGTGTTAATCTAAGGGGAGGAGAGGGATGGGAGGTGACCACGGTATGATTGGTTACTGTAGTAATTATGAGTAGTTACCTCCCTTGCATGGGAGAAATGCATAAAAGCAGACCTGTGAATAAAGCTAGCAGTTGACTCCCAGACTATGTGTCGTCTAGTCCTTGGGGAGGTGGATTATGCTGTGTTCCTGTGATTTTGTATGCTGAATCTTTGTTCCCAGCGGAGAGCTATTGGATTAACCCCTGCTACTCCGCTACAATGTCTTACTACTCACTCAACACCAGCAAAACCCAAGCACTAAGAATAAGGCTTACCCCCCAGGATTTAGCTAATCTCAAGAGGGACTACCTCTTCGAGTGGAGGACGGGCAACCTCAAATATCCAGTCCTGACCTTTACCAAAAACGCAGTCTTGACCTGGACTGAGAGAATTGTCACTCAAAACGGCCATCCTACCTAGGCTCCAATACCTTTTTCGCACACTCCCACTTCGAGTACCACTTTTGCATCTGCATACAATTCAGAAAGAGATGTCGAGGTTTGTGTGGGGTGGGGTTAGAACTAGAATCTCGAGGAGGTTGATGCAGGCCCAACGAAACAGGGGTGCCTAGCCTTCCCAGACATCAAAGCAAACTATCAGGCCACAGTACTAGCATCGACTCTGCCCCACCTCCTTAACACACCCACTACAATGGGTATGGCTGGAAAGACCGGCTATGGCGCCCTTTGACCTGCCCATCATACTATGGTTACCCAGAAATTTAAACCACACAGGCTGCAACTCCCAGACCAGGTTTAGCTGATGGTGAGGATTTGGGACATGACTGGAAAACTGGAAAGCTCCACTTCCCGGTCTATGGCAATGCCGATAAAAGCAATCACCTACTGTATACCAGACTTTAAACGCTAAACCGTGGATAGACAAGGGGGGGTCACACACATATCGCACATATACAAACACAACAAATTAATGGACTTTGCCGCCCTTCAGTCCACATACCAATTACCCCTAGCATCACAATACTCTTTTATACACAATTAAAATCGTTCTTACATAAGTACAACCGACCAATACCCCTCCCAAGAGGGGACCCCTCAGACGGTGATGGGATGGGAACAGATGGCTATCAGGGATGTGCTCCCACTTAAATGTAAACCAATCTCCTGGTGTTACCGGCTGCTCCGGTCCTCGATTAATTTTGCAGACTTAAAACCGGCTGAGCAATGGTTCCAGGACCTACAGAGTAACATTACCAGAGAACAATTGGAAACAATAATAAATACACCTAAGAAACTAATTAGATCTGCCACACTACTAGACCAACAGAGAAAGATGCTGTACTGATTGTATATGGTACCCACCCGAATACACCACGTAGACCCCCATTCATCTCTGTGCTGGAGGTACGGTTCTGATGAGGGCACGGTGCTCCACATATTAGATACAACCCACAAAACACAGAAAAATACATAACTTTACAATTGCCGAACATTTCTCATTTGTGTAACACATCCCCAGATAGCCTGGATCTGAGTGCATATTATTGGCGAATAGCGCTCAGATCCCATACGCATAGTTCAATCGCCATGGAGTCAAAGTCTATTACAGTCTTTCGGTATGTGATGGACTCCATGGGAAGGCTATCTGGGTTAAGTCCATTCGTGCGTTTCAAACTCCTGAACTGCCGGTGTTCGCGTACTTTTGTCGATCAAGAAGGGAGGTCGGCGGCTTCAGCGGAAAAAGTGTCCGTTTTCAGTTCCATAGAATCTGGGCCGAACACCGCTGGTCTTTCGCTTGTTTAAAATGGCCGCCGCCTCGTGGTTGACATACGAACGACGACCACCCTGCATTCGGTTTTAATTGAGAAGTGTCTGTGGTTAACCACAACGTTCTAATTAGGATCAAGAGGTTAACCAGCAGCACACTTCTCTTCTGGGTGGCCGTCCGTTCGGTAGTTTTGTTCGGCAAAAACGTCAATTATACGAACAGAGGCATACGAATGAGTAATTCCACGAAAAGGCAAAACAGACGAACCAGCAATCCCAGTCTATACAGATGGATCTGTCACAGTAGGATTTTTGTCCAAGGTATTGTAAGCTTCATTCATATACTAGGACTTGTTCGTAATAACTATATTACCTCCCTTATCCACCTCATTTATCACTAAATCATGATGGTCAATTAAATTTTTTAGAGCAGTGATGGCTAACCTTGACACCATAAATTGTTTCTGGGCTACATTTCCCATGATGTTCAGCTAGCTTTTAGACTCTAAAAGATAGAGTCTAAAAGGTTATAAAATCACGGTTTTAGAGCGTTTCTCTCATCTTAGATTTGGTTTACAATTGGTATCTGCTATTTTTTCATAGTGGACTAACTCATTAAAAACATCCAAGTATTTGTTCTTAGAAAACCATTGGAAAAAAAGTGGATTTTTGTTTAAAATTGGTATGGATAATAGAATTAGAAGATGGATTTGTTCTGCTATAGTGTCATTACTTAAGGTATCAACATCTTTACTTTTGTCTTTATTCTCAAAGAGTCTCCTAAAGATTAAATTTTCTTATGGTTATTGTAGCGGAGAGGTAGTATAATCCACAGTATCTCCGCTGGGTAACAGGAACAGCATAAAATAATTCAGGTGAATAAGTACAGCATACAATAATCCCGGTAGCGTTATAAGAATCCTTCCTTCCCAAGAACTAGACGACACATAGGCTGGGAGTCAACTGAGGTTTTATTTTCAGGTCACGGTATTTATGGGATTCCCCATGCAAGGGGTTTCCCTACTGACATTCCAGGGGTGGTACAGTAGGGGACTACACGGGGAACTGACCAACACATACATTTCTCCCATCATGCACTGCTGGACGAGAGGGATACTCCCACTGGAATATACCGTTAATGGGATTATCCCTCCGTGCAGCAGAATTTATATTTTACATTAAAATGCATAACTTCCATTATATTCCCTTGATTTACACGAAAGGACGTTCGGTAGATAGCTGGGGGCTGAGCGCATAGTTCATGAGAATACCGCTCAGCTCCCAGTCTAACTAACCAAACGTCGCACGAAATACACATTATTTCTAACATATGCTTAAAATACCGATTAGTATAAGTAGAGCAAACTACCGAACGGCCGGGGCTCCCGAACGGCCTGGAAGTCAAGCGGTGTTCGCGCCGTCGAGTAGCCGTTTTTAGTTCCAGGCACTCGACGGCAAAACCCCGCTGGGCTAACAAAGGAACCAAGATGGCCGACCGCCGCGTGGTCGGTAGCCGAACGACGGCCACCTAGGGAAGCCTTTAACTACCAATTGCAACAATGTTGCAATCGGTTAATGGGCGCAACATGACCTCCTGTGTGTGGTCAACCATTCGGTAGTTCATTCGTTTCATGAACAGTGTTGAAACTCACTGTTCGTGAAACTACATAGGGAATGCTGGTTTTTCACATTGGAAGCATACGAATGCCCTAATTTGCCTGAAAGCCCCATACAGTATTAGACTTGGTTCTTACGGCTAAAACAAGGATATCCACACATGCAATAAATGAATAGTCTTAAGTGGCTAGTTTTGCCACAGTTATATTTTTTTTATTTTTATTATTTGTATTGTGAACTCTTGCATGACAATTAAGGTAGCCTTTGTGAGACAAACACTTCCCATATTCAAAACATGAGAATGGTTTTGTTTATATATGACTCTTCACATGTCTACTAAGGGTTTTTTTATAAAGGAAATATTTCCCACATTCAGAACATTGAAATGGTTTCTCTCCTGTGTGAATGTGGAGATGTGATTTAAGAGTTGACATTTGAGTAAAACATTTCCCACACTCAGAGCAGGAGAAGGGTTTCTTTACACGATGAATCCGTACATGGGCAATAAGCTCTGTTTTTGTACAAAAACTTTGCCTACACTCAGAGCAAGAGAACGTTTTCTCTCCAATATGAATCCGTTCATGGGCAATAAGACTCGGTTTTTTTGTGAAACATTTCCCACACTCTGAGCAGGAGAAATGTTTCTTTCCACTATGAGTCCGTTCATGGGCAACAAGATTTGATTTATTACGGAAACATTTCCCACACACAGAACAGGAGAAAGGTTTCTCTCCACTATGGATCCGTTTATGGGCAACAAGAGTTGATTTCTGATTGAAACATTTCCCACATTCAGAACATGAAAATGGCTTAATTCCTGTGTGAATCCTAAAATGTGCATTGAAGTTGCTTCGTTGAGTGAAACATTTCCCACATTCAGAACATGAAAATGGTTTCTCTCCACTATGCAACTGTTCATGGGCAATAAGAGCTGATTTTTTAGTGAAACATTTCCCACATTCAGAACATGAAAATGGTGTTTCTCCTGTGTGGCTCCTCAGATGAACCTTAAGAGCAGCAACGGTCTGAAAGCATTTCTCACATTCAGAACATGAAAGTTTTTGCTTTTCCCCACTGTGGACGAAATTACACTTGGGAAGAGATTTTGTCTGAATATGTTTTTCATGTTCGATACGGGAACGTGATTTAGATCCTTGCTGAGTATTGCATAATCCAATAATGTGTGATTTTGGTTGAAAACACGGATGTCCCATGAAGTTTGTTTTACAGGTGAATGTTTCTCCACATTCAGAACAAGTCACTTTCTTCCCTTTACGGAATCTCTGATATTTCATTTGATTTAAATTTGTGAGTGAAACTTTTGTACCATCATAGTTATTGGCATCTATTTTGTATTGTCTCACAGGCTCACAAGCAGAGGTTTGAATGTCCAGATCACCGAGATTTCCTTCTTCACACGAGACTGGATCTTCCGTAACAGGAGTAGATGGATATTCTATCTGTGTAGGCTCTGTGGACGTATAAATTTCAGTTTCTGTGAGATTCCTTTCTTCACATGGGACTAGATCTTCCTCAGTATGAGTAGATGGATATTCTGAAGGTTCTGTGGGTGTAATAATGTCTGTGTCTGTAAGATTTCCTTCTTTACACGAGGCTGAATCCTCTGTAATAGACATAGATGGATATTCACATAAAGCCAATTCCTCCTTAACATCTGTAGATGGATACTGTGTCAGTTCTGTGGGTCTATAAATGTCAGTTTCTGTAAGATTTCCTTCTTCACATGAGACTGGATCTTCCTTCATATGTGTAGATGGATACTGTGTCAGCTCTGTGGGTCTATAAATATCAGTTTCTGTAAGATTTCCTTCTTCACATGAGACTGGATCTTCCTTCATATGTGTAGATGGATACTGTGTCAGTTCTGAGGGTCTATAAATATCAGTTTCTGTAAGATTTCCTTCTTCACATGAGACTGGATCTTCCTTAATACGAGTAGATGGATATTCTGTCTGTTCTGTGAGTGTATACATGTCAGTGTGTGTGAGATTATCTTCTTCACATGAGGTTGGTTCCTCCTTAATATGAGTAGATGGATATTCCGTGTGTAATGTGGATTTTGTTTGGGAACATTCTTTCAGTGAGTAAATCTCTCCATCTGGTAGATTTCTTTCTTCATATAAAGCTGTTTCAGATTTCACAGATTCACTTGGTCTCTTACTTAATTCATTAAATGTCACAGAATTTCCTCCCTGATCATCTGCGACTTCACCTTCAGTCACACAATTTGCTGACAGAACATGGATGGGTAAATCATCCGTTTCACTTGTGTTTAGAGAGCCATCTGCTGGAAAGAAAAGAAATAGCATTACAAACCTTCCTTTTATCTCTCTCGCGTTGTCAGTACTGTAAATACACTACAAGGTAAATGATCCAGGATGTGATGGTAAAATATTGGTGTTTCAATGTAACTGGGTAAATATATTCACAATCAGAATTTTATCTACAGTCTTTGACAGGTGTAGTCACCCTTCCGCACTCCAGATGTTATGGACTACATTTACCAAAATGATCTTACAGCTATAATGCTTTACTTTGTCTGTGAGATGAATAACTAACAATACACGAAAACAAAACAAGTGACTATATTTTGTTTAAATCTGAGGATATGTCCGTAGTGTCAAGACACATGAAGAGTAAGATGCATCGTTAATCACTGTGCCCTTTTGAGTCAGATAACGTATCTATGTCTATAAATCTCTCACCACAGGTTTCTTTAATGGTGTTTCCGATGGATACAATCTATCTTCACTCACCATGGGTCAGTGTTTATTACTTTATATAAATATCACAATAGTGCTCTGTGTAAAAAAAGACGCTTAATGTGTCAGTCCAAAATGCACAATTGGCATAAGCTTCTCAATAGCCCCGTTCTCCCGGGCCGGTGAGAGATATCCCGACCCCTACTGGAGTGCAGACCTGCTTGCAGTCATACCATCAAACGGGGCCCGCAAAGCTAATACCCTACAGCGTGCACCCCAAGATGGACGCCA